TCACATAATTCATGTGATTTTTCTTAACACGGGCGTTAGTAATCGGGAAATATAATAGTTATTTACCGCTCAATCGCCGACATCATCAGGGTTCACGGCTGCGCCGTGACACCTGATGATATCTCTGATTTCGCGGTAAAATACATATATTTTTTTTATTAAATGAATTACAAAGTTTTATTTATTTTATTATTATAATTTTTATTATTATAATAAGATCACAGTTATAAGTAATAAATTATTAGATTCAATGAATAGAAATTTATGGGATGAAAGGCAAAATTAATAATGTCGATGTAGATGGAATCAACAAAAATTCAGAGACCATAAGCAAACGATTTTCCTTACGACAGTTGAAATTGATTTTAAAGAAGAGACCAAGATTATTTCGCTTAAATTTTTCGACACCAACTCACAACAATCTAACAGTTTCCGAAGAATATCCACACCTCTCCAACGTTTGATTGAATTTGTCCATTGCTGAAAAAATCATAATACGCTTTAATAAACCTACAGAGCAACATAAAAATTGCTGATAACCTTTAAATAAATAAATAGGAGAATCTTGACGTTGCAACAACAAGAAATCAACCTATTTTAAACCGGAGGTTTCGAAATCGACTTTGGTCAAAATGGGGCTAGGCAACCTTATTTATGACCGTAATTTAGGCACGTGAATAATCATAGCAAATATAAACTAGCAAAAATGCGCGCAAAGGATATATACTGTGAAATATAAGCAAATTTTGAAAATACGCTATATCCTTTGGAATCATTGTTACTTCTATTATGATTTTAATAACATATATAAAAATTTGGGTAACTTTATCTTCTCGTCTAAAACTTAAATTTACATCTTTTCTATTGAATAACTTTTGCAAGTGGCGCAGCGACAATTATGATTTGCCGATTCTATGGAAATTTGCAAGCCTCAAAAATTTGCTTATTTAATGATGTAATTCCAACACTGCCATAAAATGAGGCTTACGAAAAAAATTTTTATTTATTTTATTTAAGCATTTCTTTTTTCAACAAACTTTACAAAAAATTTCTGTATAACTTGTTCTTTTATATGCAAAAAATTAATTTGTAATGATATCTAAGTCTGAATGGAAGGAATTCAGATTTGTTCAACCCTTTTTTTCTCCATAATACATAAAATGAAAAAATATCGGACCTTATAACGTTCTTTATTTTATGGTTCAATTTATTTTTGTTAATATTATCAAATATCAAATATTATGTATTAAAATCGATTTAAAGTTTTTTTTTAAAAAAAAAAACTTGCAAAATTTGTTAAAAAAAAAAAAAATAAGTTTTAATATAATCAATGAATAAAGGATTTTTCTAAAGATCGTTTCTAAACCGTTATGAATTAAAGAGAAGGGTTATTCGATCCAGAATAATATAAGGATGATTCAGACTTGCAACCTTTATTCATAATACTTGTAATTATATTAAAGTTAATTTTAAAAAATTTTAAAGTAATCATTTATATTCAATTTCAAACCTCTTGATAAAATAATTTATTAATTTATGTTCTATTATCCTAATATTGAAACATTATTAAAATAGTTTATAATTATAAGATTGAAATCTATTATATTTAAAATCTTAGAAAAATAATTTAATGCCTTTATTTTTGAATTAAAATACAATAACTAAATAATTTTTATTCTGTATTTCAACTAAATATTCATAATATTATATTAATAGCATAATATATTTAAATCTAATTAATTAATTTTTAAAATAATCGAACTATAAATATTTTATATTAATTTACTTATAAAATTTATTTAATATGTTCAGAAGAAATATACTGAATTTTTATAAATGAATTAGCAAAAATAAAATACAAGATAATGAAAAATCTAAAAAAAAGCAATGTAGAATTGATTCAAGTATTCAAATAATACTTAATTTTAAAAAAATTAAACTTAGTGAATCTAGAGTTAAAGAAATTGATAGCATTTTATTAAAAACATTTGTATGTTGTAATATAGCATTTAATATTGTAGAAAATCCTTTTTTTATTGAATTACTTAAAGTATTATGTGTTGAATATAATCTACCATCAAGACGAAAATTAGTTATAGAATTATTAAAGAAAAAGTAATTCAGATAAATCTAAAATAGAAAAAGTTTTAAATAATACATTAAATTAACATTAGCTACTGATAGATGGATATTACTAACTAGACAATCATTTTGGAATTTTGTAATATTAACACCAATTAGACAAGAATATTTATGTAAGATACAAGATTTATCTGAAGAAAAACATATAGGAAACTTTTTAGCAAAAGAAATATTAAAAGTAATAAATTCAATTGGAATTAAAAATTTTCTGTTATAATTATTAATAATAGACTAAATATAGCTATAGTAATTTGATTCCCAATCAATTTTCAAAAATTTTTAATGTTAAATACATTACGCATTATTTTAATTTAATAACCCATGATTTTTTTAAATCATAATTTTGCTGATAAAACAATTAAATATTGTAATATAATAATTAAATTTTTTAAAAATTATACATTAGTAATGATTTAATCAACAAATTAATTACAAAACATCAAATAACTGGAGGTGGATTAAAGACATTTGTTAAAATAAGATAGATATCAGTTGCTAAATATACTAATTTAATATTATGTTTAAAAAATGTCTTATTGAAGTAAGTAAATAACACAGCTTAAATATATATATTATTTAATTTTTTAATTTTTATTTAATTATTTTTTTTATAATAGATTTATGAAAATTATTCAAGTAAAAATTAGTGATATCATTAAAAATAAATAATAAAAAGGGTTTTTTTTAATGATATTGAAACTTTAAATAATATTTTAATATTAATTAAAAATGCTATTTTGAATATTAAAAGTAAAAATGCTAATCTTGCAGATTCTTATATTCAGTTATTAAAGATTGGTATTGCAATAAATAATATATCAAATTCTGATATTAGTAGCTTTAAAAACTATTGTATTAAAAAATTTAATATCAGGTTAGTTATTATTTAAATATATTTAATGATATATATTAAAAAATTAATTGATTTTTTTTATTATTAGATTTAAAAAATTTAATAGTTACAAAATATTTATGTTAGCTTTTATGTTACATTTATAGTATAAAATAAAAATTATAAAATCATTATATTATTTTATTTAAAAAATATTAAAATTATTTTATAAATTAGAAAAAGGAATTCCTAAATTTCAAGTTAGTGTATAAGTAATAAAAAGCTAGAATGTTAGGAATTGATATCACAATTATATTCTTATATTTTATAAGAGTATTCTTATTCCTTCATCTGTAATACAAGCAAATTTGCCTGCGAACATAAAAAAAAGTATTAATTTTTTAATAAAAAATAAAATATTAATGTTAATAATA